CATAATCATTCAATGCAACCGACTGATAAAGCGGCTCACCGCCGACACTATATGCGGGACAGGTAGAGGTGGTCGACGAACAAATCGACGCGCTAGAGGCGCTAAGCTTCAAAGAGCTCACATTTTGATATGCGCTCAGTCGCGAATGCAATTGTTGTTGCTGCTGCTGCTGACGCTGTTGTCGCAGCGCCCTTAATGTTGCATGCGAATTATTACGCTCACCGCGACTCAATTGATGCACATGACTGTCGTAGGAGGCAAAAGATGTCGTGTAATCGAGTTGCGAGTGAGACGCGCGCCGCGCAACGGGTGCTACCTCCGCATCTGCGTCATCTAAATCGTCCACATCGTTATCAACATCATCATCATCATCTGCGTAGTCAGTGTCATTGTCATCGGCGTCAACTTTGTCATAGTAATGCTGTGGCGCGTCAGTTAAATTGCCGATGGCGTTCGCGGTTTCCTCGCTCGCATGGCTAAGTTCATTTGCATCCAACTTCTCGTCATTGTTGTTGTTCTTAAAGGTGTGGTTGTCAGCTACATCAGCTGTTGCAGCTGCAAGCAAGCGCTCACAATCCGCAGCAACTGCCGCGATGGCGGCGATATCGCCAACAGCATGAGCAGCGCTTAAGTTACGCGGTAATTTTTCAGCTGCCTTGCCGGCTGGTAACGCCTTATTCGTGGCACTCCGCGGCGTGGATATGTGTGTGGGCGCGATGTCGCCCTCCACTTTAGCAGCGCTCGAGGCGGTCGTAGCACTCGCGTAATTGTTGTTATCATTATCGGCGTTGTGGTTGTTGTTGTTATTCTTGACAGTCATCAGGCCCATTGTCGGTGCAGGCTGGATTTACTCAAGTGCAATTCTGCGTGCAATTTCTATTTTTTTTTACAAAAATATTTTATACTCAATTAAATTTTTGATAAACTCAATTTCACATACATATACATAAGTATGTATGTATTTTAGATTTTATGGCCGAATGCTAGCATTTATGCTAAATGTGAAATTCCACAGAACTGCAAAACAAATTAGCGTAAATTTTAAATAAAATGAACATATTGAGTAAAAACGCTGCGAAAGTATCGACGCTGAATTGAAAATAGGCGTACGCGCGGCGTGATTTTCTAAGAACACAGCGCGTTGCAACGCGGCGCGGCGCGTCCTCTCGTCGCGCGTCGTCGAATTGATTTCGCGCACGCAAATGTCACGTTCCGGGGCAAAGCGCGCTAAGTTTTCGTATGAAAATTCGATTTTTGCTATCTTTAATCTATGCCTTTGAGCGCACCGCTTGCTTATGTGCGATCTTTTGTTTTATTTTCTATGAGCTGTTGTTGCTGCTTCATGCGCGCTGTTGCGCTTTCATAACTTTTAGTTTACATTTTTTTCTTATTAGGCTAATGTTTGTGAGGAACACACAAATGCAAGCTCGCGCCACTGCCACTGCATGCGCGCTTCCCCAACACTTTAATAAACCTGATAAGAAAAAGTCCGCTTCAGCCTCGTCATTTTACTGCTGGGTAGCGCAATTGACCCCCGCATCTTGATTGATTGGCTGACTGATTGTCTGTCTACGCTGTGAGTTTTTTCTTGAATATTCCGCTAACTGATTTTGTTTTAATTGCCGTGTGATGATAGCGCCAAAGATAAAAACAAAATCATGCCGCAATGATATGAGCCGGCAGTATCTGCGGTACGCGCTTCCCGGCACAGTACAGCCAGCGCCGCGCGGCAGTACACGCCAATATGTATGTATATGTATGTATGTACGTGTACGCGCGCATTTAACTTTATAAGATTCACCTAGTGATAAGCAGATTGCTTTTGGGATTACACCGAATGCGCTAAGATTGCGAAAAGTCACACCTTCAACACACATGCAGGCACGCTTTCGCAGCCCCATACCTTTACCCATACCCACATCACATACACACACACCTCGCTATTTCGTTCAAGCTTTTGAGAACATGTGAGCTTCCTCATCAAATATCAGCGTTACGATTTTTGGCGCCATTTGACGTACATACGTAGCTGACAGTTAGGGCGCATTGCCTTGCTTTCATTTATTTTTATTCAGAATTTTTTCGTCTGTTACTCAGTTAATTTGCTTGTTGTCTATGCTTCGCCTGCCCCTGCGCACTTTTTGTGTTTACCTTTTCTTTTTTCTCATTTATTTTGTTTGCTTTTCTTAATCTTCTCATTTTATTTGAAGTTTATTTTATATTTAATGTTTTTTTTTTTTTATTCTGCGACAATGACTTTGAATCTACATAATTTGCAATGTTTATTCTACTGATAATAATATTAATTTGAAGTTGCCTCGCACGCACTCGACTTGACTTTGCATAGATAATGAAAATGCTTATTTATTTTTTTATTTTCAGTGAGATGTTATGTGAATGCGGCTCTGGATTTTCATTCGCTAGCGTCATGCTTAGCGCGTACGAGGGGTGGTCAAATAAATTGCTGAACGAAGGAGTTATAGAGTGAAGCACTCACTTGTTGGCGACTCAGTTCGGCTGATTATTTGGAAAAAAAAACTGGACATACGTTTTGGTAGTTTAAAAACTGGACATAAATTTGGTTCATTTGAAAATTGAACATAATTTCTGATATCTTAAAAGTCTACATAATTTTTTGTGTTTTCCAAAAGTCGGATATATATATTATATATATAAACTGGACATAAATTTTGGAAATTTAAAAACTGCACATAAATTTGGCAATTTAAAAACTTAACATGCATTTTTGGTAGTTTTAACCGGATACAAATTCTGATAGCTAATAAAAATTTTTGGTAAATTCAAAACAAGACATAAATTTTTGGTAATTTTTAATTTATGATGTGGGTTTATTTTTATGGTGCCCTAGAAACTGGACATTAAATTTTGGTCATTTGGAAATTGGACATAATTTCTGGTAACTTAAAACCCGACATAATTTTTTGTTCATTCAAAAGTCGGACATATATTTTATATATAAACTGGATATCAATTTTTGGTAATTTAAAAACTGCACATAAATTTTGGCAATTTGAAAATGTAAAATAAATTTTTGGTAATTCAAACCGGAAAAAATGTTGATAGCTAAAAAAAATTTTTAGTAATTTCCAAACAAGACATAAATTTTTGGTAATTTTCTGGTGTTTAATACAAAAACCTGACATAAAACTTTCGTAATTTAAAAACTTGATATAAGTGTCTGGGCATTTACAAGCTGAATATAAATTTTTGGTAATTTAAAGCCTGCAAATATATTTTGGCAATTTATAAATTTAACATAAATTTTTGGTTATTTTAAACTGAACAAAAATTTTGTTAAATCATAAATATTTTTGGTAATTTTGAAACTAGACATAATTTTTTGCACATAAAATTTTGTTAGTCTAATAACTTAACATATGTTCCTGGGAATTTATAAGCAGAATAAAAAATTTTTGGTAATTCATAAACTGGACATCAATTTTTGCAGTTTATAAATTTAACACACACTTTGGTGATTTTAAACTTTTAAACAAAAATTTTGTTGGTTCATAAACATCTTACAGATACAATACAGAAAGAGGACATAAAGTTTTGGCAAATTAAAAACTTAACATAAGTTTCTGGACATTTACAAACGGAATATAAATTTTTGGTAATTCATAAATTGGACATAAATTTGGGCGATTTATACATTTTTAACAATTTTTAAAATGAACATAGATTTTGGAAATTTACAAACATCATTATTAATTTTAAAACTGGGCATAAAAATCTTATGGTTTTTGATTTTGAAAGCTGAACATATAAAATTTACGCTAATAAGTCGATATCGTCTATCAAAAAAAAATGCATGGTATAAAGTAGGCAGCAACTATTGAATGATAGCAATTCGACAAAACAAACTGTACATTAAAATGTGGTCATGTACGCATGCATTTTAATGAATTCGTTCACATGTCCACTTTTTACAGTTTACTTTTCTATGTGTACCTTTTACGATTTTTCCTTTTTTAATTACAAAAATGTATGTCCAACTTTTAAATGGCCAAAAATTTTGAACCATTTTAAATCACACAAAAGTTTGGTCTAATTTTTAAGAGATGACAAATTTACGCGTAGTTTTTAAATTTTTTTAAAATTCCTGTTTTAAAGACCCCGAAATTATGTCCAGTGTTGCTTTTAAGTCGGCCCTAATCGATTTTATCGTTTGCCGCTTGTGTTTATTTATTTATTTTTATTAAGTCTCAATTAAAAGACAGTTTATTCTCTTACGGAATCCATATAAACCCATTTTCTAAACCTTGTAGAAATCTAACTGGTTTTTTCTGAGAAAGCCGAAAGCACGAAATTTTGAGAAAAAAAAGATAAAATGTACCCGATAGATTGCGCAGGAGTCGCGATATTATATATTTTTATATATACTTCGGACCTATGTAATTGAAAAGAAATAACTCCAAACAAAATTTAGCCGTTAGGTAGTGCGGTGGACGATTTTTCTTTTTTATAAACCATTAATAAAAGCTGGTCTTAAGAAATTTATTTTTTTACTTAACTTACAGGCTCTCACTTAAAAATTCTCTTAAATGGATGTAGCTTATAATTGAACAGCCGAAACTTAACGTAACTTAGCGCCATGTCGAAATCTGTTTAATTTTGATTTTCTGGGTTCTAAGTTCCTCTAAGTCAAGTTAAGTTGCCGTAATCAGGCTTTTACTCGCACAGCAGTTTTTAATGCATCGATGCCATTATTTTCTTAAGAAGAAAATAAATGAAAAATTTGCTCCCAGCAAAGCAAGAAAATCACAGCTGATACGTAATCGCAAAAAATAAGGCAAGACTTGAGTTTGTAGAACACTGTTTACATACTACTTTGTTGGAAAAATGATCTGGTAAACAAACGTATGTACTTAGTTAAATTGATTCATTTTATTTTATCCACAAATACCTACATATATTCGGCCCCAAAATAAAATCACGCCACCACAATCCCTTCAGCAGACACAACAGCTAACAAGCCAACAATTAAACATTCACAACAGCAAATTGGGCACGAAAAAAAACTGTCTGTCAGCAAATTTTTCTGCACATTTACGGTGAGTTTTATTATTTCTGCAAAGTTTTCAAAAAATATAACCTACACTTTTTGTAATGTTAAAAATGCAAATTGCATACAACACTTTTACATATATTCGGTTAGGTTGAAACGGGTGTGTTTACCCTAATATCTCCTTAAAATCAGTTCCAGCGAATAGTGGAATTCGTCAGGTTTTGATATCCTGTACACGAAATCACAGTAACTGGAAGAATAATATTCAGCCCTACATCCAGCAAGAGCCGGACATTGACAGAGGGTATGTGATATTGTTACCACGTCTAACTGTCATTACAAGAAATCGTATTATACTATACCAGTGATTGGGTCTTTGAAACAGCCATGAGCTCAGCCTGACATAATGATCCACCTTAATGTTTCGAATAAATAAAACACCATTTAAATTCGTTTTATTGAATTTCGATCCACCCGTACATACATATGTGGAACTGGTAAAGGAATTTTACATTCGTGCTTCGGGTCGGAAGGTAATAGTCAATTTCCTTAGGTCAATGAGATTAGCGATCTCTATCATAATTCAAGGCGGTGTCCAGCTTGTATTGCATTTAGCCTTATGGCAGTGTTGCATGCAATCTTTTTAGTGTGAAGTCAGTTTGAAGAGAGTTCATCCGTGTGAACAGCGGTTTATTTTGTTTTACGTAAATTTTTTGATTAACTTTAATTTTTCTAACTGACCTAAGTGATTACATCATAAACCGATATTCCAAATATTCAAATGTTTGAGTACACACTATGTATATATGTATGTTAAACCGCACCGAAAAAAAGTTCGCCGTAAACCCTTGAGTCTAAAGAAATTTTGCGACGCAATTTACAAAAACATTTTTGTTTTCGTTATATCTGTAGCATTTAAAGTTGGATCCTAAAGTATGATTGATCGATGTACTTGCCTCGAGAGGGCAATCTATTTGTTTCAAAATTCATTTACCACAAGTCCCCCAATCTAGTACTTACCCACCAAATCTCAATTCCTACCACCCTAATGTCAGTAAATCAATAAACTATTTTGATTATTCGGGTAGAACTCTTTAAATACAAAAATTGTGGTGCTGGCACTGAAGAATGTAAAATAAACGACACCTAGGTTCAGGCAAAAAGAAAATGTTTTTCGAAATTGCCTTTTCAGGTTTCACCTCTCGATATAATTTTCATTAAAATCTAAATGAAAACCCAGTAAGTAAATGTAGTAATTTGCAGCTTTNAAAAAATTATGGTGCTAGCACTGAAGAATGTAAAATAAACGACACCTAGGTTCAGGCAAAAAGAAAATGTTTTTCGAAATTGCCTTTCAGGTTTCACCTTTCGATATAATTTTCGTTAAAATCTAAATGAAAACCCAGTAAGTAAATGTAGTAATTTGCAGCTTTGAGTTAATTTTTTCATTAAATGATCTAACAGCATTTTTTTAACAAATAATTTTAAATCATTTTAATTTAATTTGAGTTAAATTTCAATTTCAAAATTTTTTAAAATGGGTTTAAAGTTTCAATTTAATATAGTTTTACTTCATCTCATTTTTAATTTATTTATTTAATTTTCGTTAAAATCTAAATGAAAACCCAGTAAGTAAATGTAGTAATTTGCAGCTTTGAGTTAATTTTTTCATTAAATGATCTAACAGCATTTTTTTAACAAATAATTTTAAAACATTTTAATTTAATTTGAGTTAAATTTCAATTTCAAAATTTTTTAAAATGGGTTTAAAGTTTCAATTTAATATAGTTTTACTTCATCTCATTTTTAATTTATTTATTTAATTTTCGTTAAAANTCATTTTAATTTAATTTGAGTTAAATTTCAATTTCAAAATTTTTAAAATGGGTTTAAAGTTTCAATTTAATTTAGTTTTACTTCATCTCATTTTTAATTTATTTATTTAATTTTCGTTAAAATGTAAACAAAAATCTATTGGGGTTTGAAATATGTATATACTATAATCATTTGCAGCTGTTTGTTTTTTATTA